GCTCGCAAATCTTTCGTCCCCGGCACTTTTTTTAGCAGCGATTCGTTGACGTGTCGCGCTGTCAAGAAGACAATACCAGGTAACCTACGCACCCTATAGGCGGCTCGGTTCCTCCCCTGTAATCTCGAACCTGCAAATTCGCACTTTCGTGTGTGATTGTGAATCTACAATCATTGTCACCTGCGGTTCGAACATTGCCAATGGTCAAAGTCGAGTCATGTTCAAATGGTTAAATCGAGTCAAAAACATAAACTTATGGCAAAATAAAAAATTACACACGCCCTTATGCAGAGGCGATAGAGGGTCCCTACTCCTCTCAGTGGCAGGCAGCCATGGACGCCGAGATGGCTTCCTAGAAGTCCACAGGCACCTACGTCGACGAGGTTCCCCCACCTGGGGCGAACATCGTCAGTGGCATGTGGATCTTCAGGGTGAAGCGGCCGCCGGGTTCTCCGCCTGTCTTCAAGGCACGTTACGTTGCACGTGGCTTCAGTCAGCGACAGGGAGTTGACTTCTTCCAGACCTTCTCTCCTACCCCGAAGATGACCACTCTTTGGGTACTGCTGCACGTTGCCGCTCACCGTGACTACGAGCTCCACTCGCTTGACTTTAGCACAGCCTTCCTACAGGGCAGCCTGCACGAGGAGATCTGGCTGCGCCGCCCACCTGGCTTCACTGGGTTGTTTCCTGCTGGTACCCAGTGGAGCCTTCGGCGGCCAGTCTACGGTCTCCGCCAGGCACCTCGTGAGTGGCACGACACACTGAGGACGACTCTTGCTGCTCTTGGTTTTGCTCCTTCCACTGCTGACCCTTCTCTGTTTTTACGCACTGACACCACTCTGCCGCCGTTCTACGTTCTCGTGTACATAGACGACCTCGTCTTTGCTACTGCTGACACTGAGGCACTTGCCCACGTGATTTCCGAGCTGCAGAAGAGACACACGTGCACAGACCTGGGTGAGCTGACAAGCTATCTTGGCTTGCGGATCACCCGGGACAGAGCACAGCGCACCATTACCTTGACTCAGTCACACATGGTGCAGCAGGTCCTTCAGCGCTTCGGCTTCACGTACTCCTCGCCACAGTCCACTCCTCTGCCTACCGGTCACTCGCTCTCAGCTCCACCTTCGAACGAGCCTGTAGAGCCGAGTGGCCCGTATCCAAAGCTTGTGGGCTGCCTCATGTACCTGATGACTTGCACACGACCTGACCTCGCGTACCCTCTCAGCCTACTGGCTCACTACGTGGCTCCCGGTAGGCACCGAAAGGTGCACTGGGATGCTGCGAAGAGGGTGTTGCGCTACTTGTGCAGTACGTCGGGCATGGGGCTCGTGCTTGGAGGACGGGCTAGAGTTGTCCTCACTGGTCACGCAGACGCTTCCTGGGTTGACGACTTGGCTACACAGCGGTCGTCACAGGGTTACACCTTCAGTCTTGGCTCCGGTTCTGTCACTTGGCGGTCTACCCGCTCTTCTTCTGTTCTCAGCTCGAGTTGTGAGGCTGAGATCTACGCTGGGGCCATGGCTGCACAGGAGTTACGCTGGCTCACCTACCTGCTGACCGACTTGGGAGAGGCGCCTCGTTCTCCTCCAGTTCTGTACGTCGACAACAAGGCCATGCTGGCCTTGTGTCAGGAGCACAGACTGGAGCACAGAACGAAGCACATTGCTCTGCGCTACTTCCTTGCTCGAGAGTTGCAGCAGCGTGGTCAGCTTCGTCTCGCTTACGTGGCCTCACAGGCCAACACTGCTGATGTTTTCACCAAGGCACTTCAGCCTTGTGATCATCAGCGTTTCTGTACTGTTCTAGGCCTTGTACCTACTGTGCCTCACTTGCTTTCTTCTTGACTCTGCCTGTATTGTACTCTATATACATATCCCTGCATGCTAACACTTGCTAGGTTGTGTTCACTGTATTGTTTGTTTTCCTTTATATAACTCTGCATGTGAACTGGCCTTGTGGCCATTTGCTTGTGCTCAAACTGCGTGGTGACTTTGTGATCCACCCTGAGCTTGCTTTTCCTTTCTTGACTGGTCTTGTGACCTCTTGTTCTCCCCCAATTTGCCTATGGGGGTGTGTCAAACTTATATGCTATAGTCTGTTTAGGCTGTAGTGGGGTAGTTCTTATAGGGTACAACACATTTAGGTTTTCATACTTGTACCCACCTGCTGCCTAGTTCGTTCATTCCATTCTCTTAGATTCTAACATGCTGCTAGAGGGGGGCGTTTGAGGGGTCCGCTAAAGGGAGGTGGGACAATTAGTGAGGTAGGTGGGGCAGAAGCGAGGGGCGGGGCTCAACCTACTCGTGATTCCATGGTAGAACTGAATGAATGAGGTGCGAGGTCGTATAGAAGGCGTAATGTAATGCCTAACACCCCATACCCTCTACAATAGAACCCAACCTAGCCTACAAAGTATACATGACAAATTTATAAGTGTACGATGACATTCTGTCGCACGTTATGTTGAGATGGTTTGCCATATGATTTTAGGTTGCGATATGCTTTGAAACAATCATTTTACTATGTACCACACCTTAACAAAATTTTCAACACCAGCTGTTGAGATTCATTCTTGGTCATGCTCCACGGCTTCAGCCTCAGCGAGCCTCTTGTCACTAGGATAAACCTACTTCTCTCTATGTGACATCAACTTATATATTTTAGCCCATTGTACTATATATTTTACCCTCTGTACTATACACCTGTTAAATAGAAAGAGTAGGGCCTAGGCTTAGTAGCCTAGGCCAAAGGGAGTCGAGAGAGTTTGTGCCAAGGAGAGAGAAATGGGAATGATGTTCACTATAGCACTAGGGTACATATAGCAAACAAAGAGGTGCACCACCTATAAAGTTAATATCTACACTACAGCTAGAACTACATGCAGGTATAAGAATATTATTCTGACATCCCCCCGTAACTGCATGCAGGAATAGCTAAGTGCAGAACACAACCTGCAGAGGTACACCACAGACAGAGAAAACAGCAACAGCAGGTAAGGCAACAGAGCAGGTACAGCAGCAAAGGGGCAGGCACTCCTGCCACCCCTTTACTCTCCTCCCCCCCCCCCCCCACTTCAGGAGGGGCGGCTGGTTGGTCTCACACCCGCCACCCCAGTGCCACTCCCCTGGCTCCCCCACACCCGCACACCCTCCCCCCAGCGGCAGCTGCAGCAATGGGAGACGGAGTAGGAGGAGGAGCAGGGGATGCCACACACCCGCCACCCCCCACTCGCCACCCCCAAACCCTAACATAGGGCAGGGCCGTAGATGGCGGGTAGGGAGGTTACGGGGGGGGGGGGGGGGGGGGGGGGCAGGGCCGCGACGAAGACGGGGGCAGGGCCGCGACTGAGCAGGGCCGGGCAGGGCAGGGCCTAGACAGGGCCGGGGCAGGACGGCAAGGCAGGGCCGCGACGACGACGGGAGGGGCCGACGCGCGGCCCCCCTAGGGCGCCGGAACAGGCGGCAGAGGGGGGCGACGCGCGCCCCCCCCCCAGGTCGCCCCTCTCGTCGCCTGTCGAGGCGACCTGAGGGAGGCCGCGCGCGGCCCCCCAGGGCGTCGCGGCGGGCGACGGGAAAAGAGGGGGGGGGGGGGGGGGGGTGCGCGGGCCCCCTGTGTGCCGCGACAGGCGACAAACCCGCCGCGCGCCTCGGGGAGCACGACGGGCAGGGCACCGTCGCGCGCCACGGGGCGCACGACGGGCAGGCAGGCAGGCAGAAAACCGCCGTGCGCCCCGAGCACACGGTGGACAGAAAATCGCCGCGCGCCCGAGGCGCGCGACAGGACGACAGGCAGCGGAAGCAGACTGGTGGGCCCGTCAAGGAAGGCAGCAGGAAGGTGCCTGCTCTGAATACCATGTTAAATAGAAAGAGTAGGGCCTAGGCTTAGTAGCCTAGGCCAAAGGGACTCGAGAGAGTTTGTGCCAAGGAGAGAGAAATGGGAATAATGTTCACTATAGCACTAGGGTACATATAGCAAACAAAGAGGTGCACCACCTATAAAGTTAATATCTACACTACAGCTAGAACTACATGCAGGTATAAGAATATAATTCTGATAACACCCATTACTTTTGTTTTACTCCATACCATACCCATACCCTCTACAATAGAACCCAACCTAGCCTACAAAGTATACATGACAAATTTATAAGTGTACGATGACATTATGTCGCACGTTATGTTGAGATGGTTTGCCATATGATTTTAGGTTGCGATATGCTTTGAAACAATCATTTTACTATGTACCACACCTTAACAAAATTTTCAACACCAGCTGTTGAGATTCATTCCTGGTCATGCTCCACGGCTTCAGCCTCAGCGAGCCTCTTGTCACTAGGATAAACCTACTTCTCTCTATGTGACATCAACTTCTATATTTTAGCCCATTGTACTATATATTTTACCCTCTGTACTATACACCCATTACTTTTGTTTTACTCGCCAGAAACTGACAGGCACTTCGACGCGACACGGGCTGCCGAACTGCTGAACCGCACGCTACACCACACCATCCCGTCCCGTCGTCCTCTCCCCTCCCCCACCCCATCTCATTTCGCCACATCACCTCACCTCCGCGTCGCGCCTCACCTCCTCGCCTCACCTTGAACCCAACCACACCTCCCCTCCGCGTTTTCCCGCCTAGCCTCACCGAAACTTGCTCTCCCCCTCACACAAGCTGTGCAGAGGAATTCGCACAAAAGGGGCGACGGTTCAGCCCATAATTCATCACTCCAGCAGCATTTGCTCAACTTCAGTTGGCCCCTCCCTCACATCCACTAACCTACTCGACGGCATCTTAGCTTCAGACGGGCTATTCTCCAGCCAATTCAAGACCCGTTTCTATTCATACAGCCACTCCGCGGAGAATCTAAAATTTCTCTTCATTCCCGTCAACGGAGTCGTGCACAATCCCAGCAGACCTTTCCGCAACTTGCGCCACTCCAGGCATTCCAGCTAGCCTAAAATCCTCACTCGACTGTTACCGCCATCGTCGCCGTCATGTCGCCCCCGCCGAGCCCCGCGCAGCAGCCCTCTGCCCAGCAGAGCTTTCTGACCAAGAAGATGGTCATGGGGGGCAGCGTGGTGCTTTGGATCGCTTTAAGCTTCTCCGTTATCATCTTCAACAAGTACATTCTCGACAGCCGACTGCTCAACTGGCCCTTCCCCATCAGCCTGACGATGGTGCACATGGCCTTCTGCTCGTCGCTCGCCTTCCTGCTCGTCAACGTCTTCCGCGTTGTGCAGCCGCTGCCCGGCGGGCTCAAGCCCGACATCTACTTGACGAGCGTGGTGCCCATCGGCGCGCTGTACGCGCTGAGCCTGTGGTTCTCCAACTCGGCGTACATGTACCTGTCCGTGTCCTTCATCCAGATGCTCAAGGCGCTCATGCCCGTCGCCGTCTACCTGCTCGGCGTCGCCTTCCGCAAGGACGCCTTCCGCGCCGCCACCTTCGCCAACATGATTCTCATCGCGATCGGCGTCGCCGTCAGCGCGTGGAGCGAGGCCAACTTCAACGCCACGGGCGTGCTGCTGCAGCTCGCCGCTGTCGCGTTCGAGGCGACGCGCCTCGTGCTCATCCAGATGCTGCTGACGGCCAAGGGCATCTCGCTCAACCCCATCACGAGCCTCTACTACATCTCGCCCGTCTGCCTGCTCTTCCTCTCCGTGCCCTGGTTCCTCGTCGAGTTCCCCACGCTCGTCCCCGCCATGGCGGCCGGCGCGCACCCCAGCGTGCTCGTGTTCGGCGCCAACTGCGTGTGCGCGTTCGCGCTGAACCTGGCGGTGTTCCTGCTGATCGGCAAGACGTCGGCGCTGACGATGAACGTGGCGGGGATCATCAAGGACTGGCTGCTCATCGCCTTCTCCTGGTCCGTCATTGCCGATCAAATCACCACCCTCAACCTCCTCGGCTACCTCCTCGCCTTCGCCGGCGTCTGCTGGTACAACCGCGTCAAGATGCAGGAGATGAACGCCAAGGAAGCAGCCAGGAAGCAGGCGCAACAAGCGGACGAGGAGACAGGCTTGCTTGAGGCGCCCAGAGAAGCTCAAAAGTAGGCCGGACTGGCAGGGGAAGGAGGCTGTCACTGGCTGTGGCTTTGGCAAAGGCAGCGCAGCTAGGGTTGCAGCTAATTTAGACATTTTAGAGGCAACCATACATATAAAATCCGAAGTTTAGTGCGAGCCCACAGAGCATGTGTAAATGTTAATCTGACAAAATGCCATTTTTTCTCATTATTGGTTTGTGAGTGAGATTTCATGTTTGCATCGAAGTCAATATGTTCTGCTCGACAATTGTTACGATATGAAAAATGAGTAGAGGCATTCCTGTATGCTGCAGGAGCCGACTCTGTCAAACATATGTTTATATGTTTAAGTTAGATAGGCTGTAGTGGGGTACTCACTGTGGGGTACTCACCGCGATACCGCTGCGGACAAGCTCTCCCCTTGCGCCATTCCTTGTGTCTTCCTTGGCTTTGTCCCTGACGCGCCTGGCTGGCAGTTTTACGACCCCGCCTCGCGCCGTGTCTTTGCGTCTCAGGACGTCACCTTTGACGAGTCCGTCCCCTTTTACCGCCTCTTCCCCTACCGCACTGCTCCTCCCCCCCCCCCCCGCCGCTCTTTCTTGCCCCAGGTCCTCCCCAGGTAGACCCCCTCCCCGCGCCAGGTCCTGCTCCTTCAGGTGTCTCTCAGGTAGACCCCCCCGCGCCTGCGCCTGTTGAGGTCACTGGTGACTCAGGTCCTGCTGCTAGTGGTGCTGTCCCTGGGGGTGCGGAGCTAGGGGGTGCTGAGTCTGGGGGCGCTGAGCGTGTGGAGCCTGGAGGTGCTGAGCCTACGCGTGAGGAGCCTGGAGGTGCTGCGTCTGGGGGTGCTCCGTCTGGGGGTGCTGAGCCTGCGTGTGCGGAGCCTGGGGGTGCTGAGTCTAGGGGTGAGTCGCCTGAGGGTTCTGAGACTGCTGTTACGCGGTCTCCCTGGAGCAGTCGTCTTCGTTCGCGTGTGCCCCTTACCTCCCAGCAGCTGCACGACTGGTACGGTCGCCGTCAGCGTCGCACTTCTGCACCTCTGGGCTCTACTGCTGGGGGTTCTTCTGCTGGTGTCGCTGGTCCCGGAGGTGCTCGTACTGGGGGTACTGGAGCTGCTGGGGCTGGCGGTGTTGCTGCTGGAGGTGCTGGAGGTGCTGGAGGTGCTGGAGGTGCTGAGGGTCCTGCGGTTGCTGGCGGTACTGGACCTGCTGAGAGTCCTGGAGCTACTGGCGGTGCTGGAGCTGCTGAGGGTCCTGGAGCTGCTGGAGGTACTGGAGCTGCTGGAGGTGCTGGAGCTGCTGGTGGTGCTGGAGCTACTGGTGCTGGTGGCATTGCTCAGCCGCGCCTGTTCTTCGCTCCGCCGTCCCCGTCGTCTCAGCCACCACCTGACTCTGCACTTCGCCAGGTTCTCAGTCTTCCCTCGTCTACTGGTCTTCCGTTACAGCCTGGCTCACCGCTGCCTGCTCCTTCTCCGTACACAGAGCAGACTAGTGGCCTTGCAGAGCGTCGTGAGCCTGCGTCGCGTCCTGTCTCACCTGTCCGTTCTGGTCGTTCCGGTCGTCGTGTTCCTAGTCAGAGACAGCCGACTGTCTCCGACCCTCACCTTGTAGTTCGTCGTTCTTCCTCTCCTTCGTCGCGTGTTCCTCTGCTGCCTCCCCCTGCGTCCTCTCTGCCTGTCGTTGCTGACCCTGCGTCTGACCTGTTTCGTGCTGAGCACTCTACTGTCCCGCGTCTGCTTGCCACTGTTGTCACTGACCCGTCGTTTGAGTCTGCTGCTGCGTCTGCCTTAGTCGCTGAGCTTGTTGACTTTGCTGCTCACTGTCGTCTAGACTACGCCGCCAGTCTTGTTGCTGAGTCTGAGTCTGTCTGTCCTCCGTCCATCGGGGGTGAGTGTGCTCTTGGCACGGACGTCCTTGAGGACAGGCAGGAGGACCTTGAGTGTCTTGCAGCCGCTGCGCCTCATCTCGTGTCCATGCTGCTTGCCCCTGAGGGAGACCCGGATGCACCAGACATCCCTACCCCGCGCTCTTACGCTGAGGCGATCGCGGGTGAGTACTCCTCTCAGTGGCAGACAGCCATGGACGCAGAGATGGCATCCTGGAAGTCCACAGGCACTTACGTTGACGAGGTTCCCCCTCCTGGGGCGAACATTGTCAGTGGCATGTGGATTTTCAGGGTGAAGCGGCCTCCAGGTTCTCCGCCTGTCTTCAAGGCTCGTTACGTGGCTCGAGGCTTCAGTCAGCGAGAGGGAGTTGACTTCTTCCAGACCTTCTCCCTCACCCCGAAGATGACCACTCTTCGGGTGCTGCTGCATGTTGCCGCTCAGCGTGACTACGAGCTTCACTCTCTTGACTTCAGCACAGCCTTCTTACAGGGCAGCTTGCACGAGGAGATCTGGCTGCGCCGCCCTCCTGGCTTCATTGGGTCGTTCCGTCCTGGTACCCAGTGGAGCCTCCGGCGGCCAGTCTACGGTCTCCGCCAGGCGCCACGTGAGTGGCACGACACACTGAGGACGACACTTGCGGCTCTTGGGTTTGCTCCGTCGACTGCTGACCCGTCGCTGTTTCTGCGCAGCGACACTTCGCTGCCGCCGTTCTACATCCTCGTGTACGTCGACGACTTGGTCTTTGCCACTGCTAACACTGAGGCTCTCGCCCTGGTGAAGTCGGAGCTGCAGAAGAGACACTCGTGCACAGACCTGGGTGAGCTGCACAGCTATCTTGGCTTGCAGATCACTCGGGACAGAGCACGCCGCACCATCACACTGACTCAGTCACACATGGTGCAGCAGGTCCTTCAGCGCTTCGGCTTCACCTGGTCCTCAGCACAGCCCACTCCTCTGGCTACAGGTCACTCGCTCTCAGCTCCACCTTCGGACGAGTCCGTAGAGCCGAGTGGTCCTTACCCAGAGCTAGTGGGCTGCCTCATGTACCTGATGACCTGCACTCGTCCTGACCTTGCGTACCCTCTTGGTCTTCTGGCTCGCTACGTGGCTCCTGGTCGGCACCGAAAGGTGCACATGGATGCTGCTAAGAGGGTACTACGCTACTTGTGCAGTACATCGGGCATGGGGCTCGTGCTTGGAGGACGGGGTGACGTTGTCCTCACTGGCCACTCGGACGCCTCTTGGGTTGACGACCAGGCTACGCAGCGGTCGTCACAGGGTTACACCTTCAGCCTTGGTTCTGGTTCAGTTTCCTGGCGTTCTACACGTTCGTCTTCAGTTCTCGGCTCCAGCTGTGAGGCCGAGATCTACGCCACAGCCATGGCTGCGCAGGAGCTACGCTGGCTCACCTACCTGCTGACCGACTTGGGAGAGCGGCCTCGTTCTCCTCCAGTTCTGTACGTCGACAACAAGGCCGCCATCGCATTGTGTCAGGAGCACAGACTGGAGCACAGAACAAAGCACATCGCTCTCCGTTACTTCCTTGCTCGAGAGCTGCAGCAGCGTGGCCAGCTTCGTCTTACTTACGTGGCCACTCGGGCCAACACTGCTGATATATTCACCAAGGCGCTTCCGCCTGGTGATCATCAGCGTTTCTGTACTTTGTTAGGCCTTGTGCCCACGCTTCCTCACTTGCTGTAGGCTTTGTTTGTACTATGATCTATATGTATACCTGCATGCTTGCTCTTGTAGGCTGATATCAATGTGCTGTTGTTGTTACACATATATCTCTGCATGTGAACTGGCCTTGTGGCCTCTTGCTTGTGCTCAGATTGCGTGGTGACGTTGTGATCCACCCTGAGCTTGCTTTGCATTTCCTGTCTGGCCTTGTGACCCTCTGTTCTCCCCCACTTTGCCTATGGGGGTGTGTCAAACATATGTTTATATGTTTAAGCTAGATAGGCTGTAGTGGGGTACTCACTGTGGGGTACAACCCCTTAGATTTTTCCTCTTGTACCAACACTCTCGATAGTTGAATCATCCCTTGCCTAGCCTTTCGACAGACTCTACCGAGTACGAAGTCGAGGACTCAGAAGAGTCGAAGCGACGCCAGCAACCGTCAGAGATCAAGACCGATGCAGGCAGATGCATTTGATTGAGAAAACTTGCTTTCTTATTCTTATCAATTGGCATCGTTCTCATTACAAATGGCATCGTTCTCATTACAAATGGCTGTTTACAACATTTGCATCACAATTGAACACAAGCTAGTGCATGCTCATATCACTAGCTACGATATACCCTATCCAAGTGGCATGCGTAAAACGGTGTACGCTGGGGTGGGTGGTGGGAATGTTGAGTGAGCCGTTTGGAAAAGAGAAACGTGGGTGGAGGGAAATGAGCTCCAACCCACAGTTTTTGTAGTTGGAGAAGGGCGTTTAGCGCGCTTCGACGATGCCAATTGTGCAATACAAGCAGCTTCGCTTTCACAATACACAATTTTGAAAAACACTATGTGTGTTTAAAAATTATAATATTGAGAAAGCTTGCTTTCTTATTCTTATCAATTGGCATCGTTCTCATTACAAATGGGGTCTCTGAGACATCGGCAGCGGGGGCCTCCGGTTACGTACGAGTGCCTCTGTGTGTTGTGCCGAAGTCACCGCATTGTTAGAATCTTACGGGAAAGTTGCGTTTCAACTATCGAGGGGGAAAGGTACAAAGGAGAAACCTAAGGGGTTGTACCCCACAGTGAGTACCCCACTAAGCCTAACTAAACTATAACATATATACACATATATTTGACACACCCCCATAGGCAAAGTGGGGGAGAACAGAGGGTCACAAGACCAGTCAAGAAGTGCAAAGCAAGCTCAGGGTGGATCACAACGTCACCACGCAGTCTGAGCACAAGCAAGAAGGCCACAAGGCCAGTTCACATGCAGAAATATATATGTAACAACAACAGTACAGTGATATCTACCTACAAGAACAAGCATGCAGGAATACATATAAATCATGGTACAAACAAAGCCTACAGCAAGTGAGGAAGAGTGGGCACAAGGCCTAACAAAGTGCAGAAACGCTGATGATCACCAGGCGGAAGCGCCTTGGTGAATATATCAGCAGTGTTGGCCCGAGTGGCCACGTAGGTAAGACGAAGCTGGCCACGCTGCTGCAGCTCTCGAGCAAGAAAGCAACGGAGAGCGATGTGCTTTGTTCTGTGCTCGAGTCTGTGCTCCTGACACAAGGCAATGGCGGCCTTGTTGTCGACGTACAGAACTGGAGGAGAACGAGGCCTCCCTCCCAAGTCGGTCAGCAGGTAGGTGAGCCAGCGAAGCTCCTGTGCAGCCATGGCTGTGGCGTAGATCTCTGCCTCACAGCTGGAGCCGAGAACTGAAGACGAACGTGTAGAACGCCAGGAAACTGAACCAGAACCAAGGCTGAAGGTGTAACCCTGTGACGACCGCTGCGTAGCCTGGTCGTCAACCCAAGAGGCGTCCGAGTGACCTGTGAGGACAACGTCACCCCGTCCTCCAAGCACGAGCCCCATGCCCGATGTACTGCACAAGTAGCGTAGTACCCTCTTGGCAGCATCCATGTGCACCTTTCGGTGCCGACCAGGAGCCACGTAGCGAGCCAGAAGGCCAAGAGGGTACGCAAGGTCAGGACGAGTGCAAGTCATCAGGTACATGAGGCAGCCCACTAACTCTGGGTAAGGACCACTCGGCTCTACGGACT